TCCCCATTTTACAGATGAGGAAATTGAGTCATAAAGCTAATAAATGACAGACCTGGGTTCAAACCCAGGTAGTCTGGCTCCAGAATCTCTACTCTTAACCACTTTGCTGTATTACCACAAATGAGATGGGGAGAGGGACAAGTTGCTGTAAAGAGGATGGAATAAAGATGGAAGAAGAGTAGATGTTAAGGAATTAAATAATGGGGTAAAAAATGGAGAAGGAAAAAATAAGGGCAATTAAAAGTAAAAGACTGGAGGAGAGGGAAAAATAGTAAGAAAGAGAAGGAAGATAAGGAATCATTGACAAACAAAAGGTGAAAACAGGAAGTCAGTCACTGTGGATTGGTGAGATAAGGAGGACCCAGGAATACCTGAAGAAAGGCTGCCATGTCAGGCAGGATGCAGAGAACAAATGAGGAGAGGCGATTCTTACATGATGGTGAAGGTGCCGTTATAGGTGTTAGGCTCTGGCTCAGGCACTCTGTGGAGCTTCTGCTTTGGGCTGAGACCATTACATGACAGCGTCTCATTTTTGCAGGTACAGAGCTCACATATGCTGATGTTTGTGGTGGCATTCTGTTCCGGCTGCTTCTTTTCTGGGGTATATTTTACACCAGGAAGACCTGTGGATACTGAATACTGAGTCGAAGGAAAAAGAACTGTCTCAGATGCCTTGGTTGCAGAGATATGTTAACTCACAGGTCCACAGGTGGAACTGTGACTTGAGTCAGGTTTGGTTGTGCAAGTGTCACCTCAGGGTGTTTTGGCTGGGGAGCTGTAGTCTGCTGTAGGGATGTAGAATGTCCAGCCTCCATAGTGGGCTCTGGAATTGTGGTTTGCTCTAGGTCCACATGATGAACTGTGATGCTGGATGATGCTGAACACTGACCTTGATCCTTGCTTCAAGTTGGAACTGTCACCTCCTGCTGGAATGGAGATTGAATTACTACATCCTGAGGTGCCTCTGGAGGCTGAGTTGTGGTCTCCTGCATGATTGGAGAAGGTACAGTCTCCATATTGCAGCCTGCACTAACGGTAAGTTCCATATCCATAGTTTGAATTGTGACTTGAGTCAGGTTTGGCTGTGCAAGTGTCATCTCAGGGTGTTTTGGAGGGGGAGCTGTAGTCTGCTGCCGGGCTGTAGAATGTTCAGACTCCGTAGTAGGTGCTGGAGTTTTGCTAAGCTCCAGATCCAAAGGTTTAACTGTGATACTGGGTGATGTTCGATGCTCAGCATGATCCTGATCTGGGGCTGGAACTGGCACCTCGGGATACAATGGAGACTGAGCTACAACTTCCTTAATGAGCTCTGGAGGCTGAGCTTGGGTCTGCTGCATTGCTGGAGAAGGTTCAACCTCCCTACTGGATTCCAGAATTAATGTAAGTTCCAGGTCGAAAGGTTGAACTGTGACCTCAGTCAAGGTTGGATGCTGAGCCTGAACTTGCTCTGGGTTTAGAAGTGCCACCTCGGGGTATGTTGGAGGATCTACACTCTCCTGCAGGGGTGTGGAATGTTCACCTCCATAGTAGGTTCTGGAGTTGTGGTAAGCCCCTGGTCAAAAGGTTGAACTGTGACACCAGGTGATGTTGGAAGCTCGGTGTGATCCTGATCTGGTGTTGGAACGATTGGGTCCTGATATACTGGAGGATGAGCTACAAAAACCTCCTTAGGTGGTTATGGAGGCTGTGTTAAGTTATCCTACATGGATGGAGAAGGTTCATCTTCCTTAGTGGGTTCTGGCCTTATCGTCAGTTTAAGGTCCAAAGGTTGAATAGTGACCTCAGTCAAGGTTGGATGATGAGCCTGAACTTGCTCTGCATTTGGAAATGTCACCTCGGGGTATGTTGGAGGAACTGCAGTTTGCTGCATGGCTGCAGAACGTTCAGCCTCCGCTGTAGGTTCTGGAGCTCTGGGAAGTGCCAGGTGCAAAGGTTTAACCCTGACCCTGGGCAAGTTTAAATGCTGAGCTTGGTCCTGCCCTAGTGTTGGAACTGTTATCTGATAATGCACTGGAATTTGTGCTACAACCTCCTTAGGTGGCGCTGGAGGCTGAGATGGGGCCTTCTGCTCGGCTGGAGAAGGGTCTGTCTATTTAATGGGTTCCAGAGGTAGGTGTGGGAACTCCTGCTGGACTGGAGAAGATTCCATATTCTCAGGGAGCTGTAGAAGCTGAGGAAGGGTCTCTTGAGGGACTGGAAATGGTTCCACCTTTGCAGGGAGCTCTGATGACTGAGCCTGAAGCTGCTGCTGTGTGGGAGAAAGTACCACCCATCCATAGGGGCCTCAGGAGATATATCTGAGCCCCACTACGGAACTGGAGATTGAGCTGGAGCCTCTTCCTGGGTTAAAGAAAGCTCTATCCCTCCAGGGGGTTCTGGAGTCTGAGAAGGGTCCTCCTGCTGCACTGGAGGATGTTCAACCTCATTAGTGGGCTCTAGAGTTAAGACAACTGCAAGATCCATGGGTTTAACTGTGGTATTAGGCAACACTGGATGTTCAACTTCACCTGGACCTAGAGGTGAGAATGTCACTTCATTATGTACTGAAGGTTGAGCTGCACCATCTGTAGAGGCCCCTGGAGGCTGAGTTGGGTGCTGATGCTGGACTGGAGAAGGTCCAACTCACTCAGTGGGCTTTGGATGCTGAGCTGAGCTCTCCTGCTGGCTGGGAGAAGGGTCAGTTTCCTCAGGAAGCTCTTCAGGTTGAGTTGGGGCTGCCTGCTGAACTGCAAAAGATTCATCATTTTCAGAGGGGGTTGGATGCTGATCTGAAATCTCTTGCTGGACTGACAAAGGTTCCAACTGCTGAGGGGAGACTGTAGACTGAGCCGAGGT